CCATATCTCAATATCGTACAAATGAATCCCTGGGGGCACTGAGAAAAGCTTTGCTCATCCACTTCTTCTACATATGATGGTACATTTAAATTCTTGCATTTCAATTGGGAAAGTTTTAAGAAAGAGACTTGAAAAAAAGATTTCTCTGTCACATTCCAGACTGCCCACTGCAAGCCACTGACAGCTTCAACAGCTTGGTAAAAAATCTGTGTGATTTTCAAAATTTTGAAGCATATTACATCCGCAGCAATAAAGGAAAACCAAAAATAAATTAGATGGTCATGTGTAGAAGTGGATGACCAAGACTTTTCTTTGAACAAGAGGATATAGCAGGTGGAAAAAGGCTCCAGCCAAAATTTTCTAGCTGCTGTGCCAAATTTTGGGAAAAAGATATAAGTCCCTCTCTTGCAGGCTTGCTCACCAAGAGGGACTTAGTTAGGTTAGACCAACTGTACACTTTTTTTGTCAGTCCTGAGCCCTGTGTACAGGACCAAGGACTAACAAATGTTCTGAGATAGATGAAACACAAACTATAACAAGCTAGTGTTAGAAAAGTTCTACCAAAACAAAAGATTTTGTGACAATAGAGAATAACACAATTTGAGAAGAAACAAGAACTTTATATATGAAACACGTTTCATCCAGGCACAACAAATATGACGCAAACAAAGAGAAAAGAAACCAGCACGACCAAAACATTCTTCGGTCTTCCTCCTGGGCTAAACCAAAAACGGGTGAGATGCCTAGTCACCTACGGTGCCTAGCCAGGCCAGCCGCAACAACAAACACACATGTAAATATATGTGACTTGTCTAAAACCATAAGAATCACACCTCATGACTCAGTACATATCAAGAGTCACTTAAGTAAAAAGACTTACTATAACTTAAATATCAGTAGTAAACCTAACCCAAACCTAACTCAGAGAAATCAAACCTAAGCGCCAACCACAAGTTGATGCCTAGGTCTGGAATATATAATTAACACCTCTTTTTCCCACTCTAGAAGAAGAACCAACTTTATATCATTACACAACTCATCATCACAACTTACTTGATTCTTCACCAAGAACATTGAGTAGAGTGAAATTTTGTACTTCGATTGTCATACTTCCTTTCTGTCTTTGTTCAGGTTATTCTAAAACCTCAAGCTGAGCTGGTGGGATTAATAGCCACGGAACAAGCTTGAAATTTACAAAGGGCACCTCATAAAGAGTCCAAAGTAACCTGTGGCACCTCTGAATCTTCTGAGTATAAAGTACTGCAGGCTCCCGACTTGTAAGACCAACCAGAGCTCTGAGCCAGATCCTTAAAAGGACAGCTCAGCCATCCCACTGGCATCAAATCCTTGTCTTAGAGGCAACTAACTGTAGTCTTCACTTGGGTGTACCAATTGAAGACTTTTATCTTTGTTTACTCTTCACCTTTTT